TACATATACATATATATACATATATATTACTTTGTGTTTCACAGACAAAAGTAATACAGGTTTGGAACAAAATGAGGTTGTGTAAATGATGACTTGATTTACATTTTTGGTAGAACTATCCCTTAAAACTGATGTGCATCATTGGTTTATAGACTGTAGTGCTCCTAAAAGTGATGAGGATTTTATGATTGTACTGTATTTTAAATGTGCTTCCTCAGTTCTCATAATCACTCACCAACAGCTCTGAAAATGTAAAAATCCTCATTCGTTGATATTTCTAAGTATGATAACTAATTAGATTTGATATTTTGTTTGATAAAGAAGAGGCTTGAGAGTTTCTTGTCATACGGTCCCCAGTCTTGGTCTTGTGTTTAAGGACTCTTGTTTTGAAAGTGTATTCTCCTATGGTTTCTGTGCCCTCTTCCTTTATGCAGTTCCTGTTTCCCTGCTTGCCATAGATTCCCTTGTTTGTTGCCATAGTAACCCTTGTTAGTTTCCATGACAACTAATTACCCACACCTATCCCTTGTCAGCCCTGGTTAACTTGTGTATATATACCCCTGTGCTTCCTTGATTCATTGGTCAGACATTGTTTTCTGTAGATGCCCGTGTTCTCTGGTTTCACGGTTTCACTCCCGGTTCCTAGTTACTGTGTTTGCTTTATTTTGTTAATAAACCCTGCTTGCACTTGGATCCACCTCATCTCGCCTTCATTGTACAACTCCCAGCATTTCAATGAGCTACTTGTAGTTCTGTGTTTTATTGGTTGTTGTGTTTGAACCTCTCCTCTATACCCACCCTCCTCTTTCCCACCTTTCATGACACTTTAAGCACTGTGATACTGTAATTCTCTGGCTCTTTCAGTGAGTTTAGCAGCAAATCCACATGCAAAGGCTGGCAGAGGAAAAACCCAACCCTGATGTCAACAAGTGGCCACACAGCTCTACTGACTGCGCTACTGTTCTAGCGTCCTATGGAAGAAAAACATCAACCGACCCAGCAGCATTTACAGTGTTGACACTGTGCAGGCAGCAAATAAATAGCCTATATATGCACCCCCGTCTTTCATTTTCTTGCTTTTACATACCACATGAGCATATCAGTTTATTTTCTTCAATTTATCTTTCTTTACTTTCATGTGGGTAAATTACCTCCAAGCCTTGCCAAGTGTAAGGGTGATTCTGTATGAAATATTACAAACCAGATGAGAAACTGTCTAAATTTACATGGTATACATTACATTTGGCTGCAGTTTAGCAATATTCATTTGAACATTTCAGAGCTCAATGTTTTGTATTAGCCAATAAAATGTGTAGATACTGTAGGTACTGTAATTTAGTTAACCAGATAGAATGTAGAAATAATATGTCTACTGACATATTGTTATTACTATTTTGTAGTAATTACTAGTAATAGTTCAAAAGCTGTATTTTTAATTTTAAGAGACTATCTATTTAGTGACACCATGGACAATCTTTACACAAAATGATGTTCTAATATATATATATATATATATATATATATATATATATTATTTCAAACATTTATTAATACCATTATATAAACATTTATATATTAGATATAGTAATCATATGAATAGTTTAATTTCACTCGATTGATTCCATTTCCATCAATTATATTGATCCTATTATTTTTATAATAATATATTTCATATAATAATTAACATTATGTATGACCAGAGATTTAAACAAAGATATGACATTTTAAATCCATCTAGACTCAATCCAAGAGCCTTTATAAGTTTAGTTCTTTAGGTGTTAGTGTAGTTAGTTAGATTATGTGTTTATCATGTGGGCTATATCATTTCTGGAGTTAGTCTGCAGGCCTTCCTGGGTCTTCCAGGGTCACCACAGGTCTAAACAAAAATCTGAAGTCTTTCTGTCAAAGTCTACAGAATGAGCTCATTTTGTGAAATTTATGTCAGCAGGTTGAAGCGACCCCAATAACGTGATATTGAATGTGAATTGAATCTCTGGAATGTGAATTGTACCAGGAGAACCCCGGCAAAAAAAAAATTATTTTATCCTAGAACGCGATTTTTACTGGGGGACCCCCTCGAAAGCAGTTGGGCTATTTTCAGGCTAGTTTTGAGTAGTAATTGGGCAGGTTTTGTAGCGAAAACCTGGCAACCCTGCACCAAACAGAGCTGTCGGCGATTCTTCCTATTGTAAAGTCATGCAGTGTGTAACCTCCTGTGCACCAGACAGCGTTATTGGTGATTCTCCCTATTGTAAAGTCATGCAGTGTGTAATCTCCTGTCGTCGTTCCATCGTTCAGTGTGAACACAGCAGCAACTGAATGCTACCCCAGATAGTCGTTCAGTGTGAAACCAACAGTGATGCGACGTCTTTGAAAATCGTGCAGTGTGAACTCGGCATAAGGCTGTGGCTGAAGTTAGTTGTAGTTCTCGTGTTTCTCTTTTCTTCAGTGATTCTAGAAGAATAGATAACTAGTTATAGTTAGTTGGTTATTTCACTATATTGATTTGATAATGTTTGTCACTGCAGTTCAAGCTGTTTAACCTTCCATAATATTGTGCATTTGTTAAACAGGTCGCAATAATCATGTGAGTTGCATTAGTAAAGTGGTCACAATGTTCGTGTGTTATAGTAAACAGTGTCAGTGAGAGTATGTTGTGCTAATAAGCTTTGAAAGTAACAAATCAATAATTTACTTTTTTTAAGAGACTGATGCAGTTAACCTAAACATTTTATTTGTGTATTTAATAATTTTATGGTCTACAGCAATAGAGGAAGTCCAGGTGCTGTGCCTTGACAGATGTGCCCTTTACCATCAGATAACGATTCTAAAATTATTTTCCTTGGAGTCAACCCACTTTATTTTCCCCATCCTTTTGAAATAAAATGATATTGCATATTCCTAACTCATCAAAATCATTTTGCTTTTTTACATATTAATTAAAACATTATTTATTATGTTTATTAATATATTTTAATTGTGGGAAATTTTGGCTGGTCCCTGCAATGCAACTAATTCAGTTTTGCTGCACTTGTGTGGATATTTGGTCCCCACAGGCTAAACCTGTACACACACAAATATGTTTACTTAGCTATCTAAAGGGGACATTCCATTGTTTTTATATGATGTTGGTGGAGGTTTTGCTCAATTGTGGGTACAGATTTGTCACCAAAATATTTTTAAGTAGGTACACACACACGCACCTATACGTGTTTTGCTATACTCATGAGGACCATGACTAGACAGCATGTTGTGAGGACTCCCCTTTCTGCTGACACTAGGAGAATGAAAAAAATAGTTTTACCACTAGGGGGGAGTAGACAAACAGAAAATCACTTCAAATGTTTACACACATAATGTTCACAAAACTGGTGAAGTTGGTGTGTGCTGTGAGGACCAGACAGTTTCTAGGCATATTTAAACAGTTAACATAAACGGTTTTTAAGGCTTTTGGGCAGCAGTTTTGAAGAGTTATCATAGGTGCTGATCCTATTAGACCAAAGAACATTTTTAAATTTATATTTTATATATTTTATTTTCATTTTATACTATATTTAAGTGACGGTTATTAAACTCTTATATCTGGTCATATTATTCCTTGTATATTTATGTACTTTGTTTTTTCATCAACTTGTAATATTTTAAGCTGCTGTCAACACTACAGTAGTAAGGAAATACCTCATCTGATCATTTCAAAATTTCAATTTTAGTATGCATATTTAATTATTTTTTTATGATTTGATAAACTCATAGTTAGAAATATTAATAACTGGCATACATTTTGGCCCATGATAAGTATGGCTGACACAGAAAGTATAGTCCATACATTTATAACGTCTCGCCTTGATTACTGTAATGCTCTGTAGTGGCGTGGGCGTGGCTTGCTCAAGCCCCTGCCCCTTTTGTCTCAAAGTGTGAAGTACCCCGCTCTTCTCGCAGCACGTTCTCACTCCCAACTCCTCACATACTGATGCTTGGTCAGGATCCCTTGGCCTCATTTCTTTAGCTTCACTTTTCGACATGCAGGGTACTTTATTGCTTTCAGTTGTTTGCCTTATTTTAATGGTTTGCAAGCATTTGTAAAAGTAGAAATCATTTAATATAAATGTATACTTTAATTGGAGCACATAACCCCACCCCTACCCTAAACCTACCTTTCCGAAGCCATACAATGTCTTTATGCGAAGAACAGAGTAAACCATAAGAAGTGAAGTGATCTTGAAGTGATCATAATTTTTGAATTTGTGCTCAGACTGCACACAGGATCTGAGCTTTAGGCGGATGGAGACGATTTTTCCTCACACATATCAATCATTTTGCCTCAAAAGAGTTTATTTTTTTAATAAATTATGAGTGTAGTTGTGTCTGCCTGTTATATCCTGTGTTTTATATCGGCAAAGAGTTCATAGTAAATAATAATAATGATTATTATTATAAATAACAGTACTCTTCTATACCATTTGCCACTAACAATAATAATAAACACAAAATAAAATATTTAGATTTGCTGGACATATTAGGCGGAAGTGGAGCAGTAGGCACTTTCCTTTACAGTGCTATCATGCAGCAGTATCTTTGCCACGAGTCTTCAAAACATGAGCAGCAGACCGGTAAGTTAACACAGAAAATGGACATTTATCCTAAAATAATGTTGTTGTAAACTTTGTGAATGCAGCAGCATGCAAGTTATGTTAAACTGTCTAAAAGACAATGAGATTTAGTCTGTTAGACCTCTCTTTCTGAACTATTTATGCAACATTACCAGAATCCACTTCTAGGGTTGAGAGGTCATTTTCAAAGTCAAAACTTCTGAAATCCAGTCTTCGAAGTCTATGTACTGATGAGAGGCTCTCTGACCTTCTGCTACTCTCCATCAAGCCAGACATTCCAATTAATCATGAGGAAGTCATTCAAATATTTAAAAATACAGTAGAAAGATGAATACTGGTTTAAATACCGGTGATTTCACAAATAATTAAGTTTAAATTCTGTACAAAAAATTACATTTGGTTAAGTTCATTGAAGTAACATTTTTTGTCTTTCTTTCTTTTTTTTAGTGCCCTTTTTGGTCCTTCCACCTGTCCACGCCACTGGCTCTGTACTTGGGTCTGCCAAAAAGTCTTGACCCGGTACCAAAAGTCAGTAACAGGAAGTCCTGACCCGGGGTTTTTAGTATTACACACTAGACCCTGTCAACATTGGGCTGGTTCAACTCAAACAAATTAACCTCATAATAATATATATTTTTCAAATCGGAGGAAAGTGACAAGAAAAAAACCTGCAGTTACAATTTACAATGATGACTGATGCCACTCAGTTGCCCACAGACATGGTCAATTTAAGTCTTTTATAATTATAGCAGTTGAGTGAACTACCCATTTTGATATGAAGTATGCCTTTTGACTGTTTTACAGTTGTCCTTACTACGCTCTCAGAATTCATCAGAAATAT